TCAACTTAGTGAGATCCTGTCTTAAAAGACTGGGTATGGGCCAGGGTTGTGGATCAGTCATAGAGCACTTGCCTAGCATGCATGAGATACTGGGTTTGATCCCAGGAACCACATAAACAAATAAAATAAAGGTATTGTGTCCATCTACAACTACAAAAATATTTATAAAAAAAAAAAAAAGAAAAAAGATTGGGGATGCAGCTCAGTAATAGAGCACCTACCTAGCATGCATCAGTTCAATCCCTAGTACTTCTCCCCACACACCAAAAAAAAAGGTATAGGTACAAACCCATGAACCCAGACATTTTTCTGATGGGGACTAGAGTATAGGACTGGACTGAGCCCTACAAGTTGAAGAAGTGGGAAGTAGGAGGCAAAGCATACATTCCCCACAGAATGGTCTTTAAACTCCCAGTCCAGAGAATCCTTTTGAGATCAACACCAGACACAAAACCTAATTATGAATTTTGCACTAGTCCCTTGATAGTCTCTAAATTTTATTTTTAAATATCTTTTTTTTGTAGTTGTAAATGGATACAATATTTTTATTTTATTTATTTATCTTTATGTGGTGATGAGGATCAAACCCAGGGCCTCATATATGCTAGGCAAGTGCTCTACCACTGAGCCACAACCTCAGCCCTTTTTTTCTTTTTTGGTACCAGGAATTGAACTCCAGAGCACTTACCACTGAGACACATCCCCAGCTCTATTTTGCATTTTATTTAGAGACAGGGTCTCACTGAGTTGCTTATTGCCTTGCTTTTGCTGAGGCTGGCTTTGAACTTGTGATCCTCCTGTCTCAGCCTCCTTAGCTGCTGGGATCACAGGCATGTGCCACCGTGCCAGGTTCTAAATTTTTTTCTAGCCTTTTAACCCCAATTCATTGACCATGAAAATCTGGCTCATTCAGAATTGCCTTCCAATGTGAAGCTGGCACCTAGGTAGGGTGGCAGAAAGATTTCACACATTCTATGTGACACATACAGGGACTTACTGACAGGGAGACTGATATTAGCTCCACAGGACAAGTCTTGAAACATTAGAAACAACTGATACACACATGCATGGCTTTCAGAATGAGTGAGCTTCCCATCACCTCGGGTATATAAGTACTATTCTGCAAAAGCAGAAGATCAAGAAATGGTGGCTCTTTTATTATTACTAATTTTTTTTGGGGGGGGTTTCTAGCTTTAGAGCAGTGAGAAGAGTCAAGCCATCATAATGGCTCCAAGAAAGCATGCCTTTTGAACAAAATGTAAGTGGACATTTCTTTGAGAACTTGTTGGGCAAGAAAAGCCAGAGAGTTTCTCCAGAGCTGGATATCAGATTGACCTCTGCTGAATATCTGAGTGAAGGCTTGGGCGTCCAACTTTGGGGTCCACGAGTAGATATCTGTAATATCTCATCTTTGCTTAGAGAATCAGGGCTCAGAGAGGTTGGGTAGTTTGTCCAAGGTCACATTGCAACTGAGCAGCCAATGGGACACACAACCTTCAGCACCATAAAAGGCTCAAAATACTTGAACCCTAAATACCATCTAGTTCAGTGGTTCTCAGACTTTGCCTGAAAAAGTTGCTAAAGTTAAACTGCTTGGATGGGTTTTCATTACTTGCATTTTAACAAACATACCTTTGGAAACTCTGATGTTGGGGACAGGGATGATCAAGGTTGCCGTGAAGTTCCGGATTCTGGAGACCCATCAACTGGGTTAAAAGATCTATCCTACTACTTCTTCTGGGCCTCATTTTTCTCATGTGTAAAACATTAACACCATGGGATTATTGTGAAGAATTCCCAAGTTTAATGTAACATATTTAGTAAAATAATAAACTAAATAATTTGGTATTAGCTAACATAATCTTACATATTTAATATGTTACAGTGCTTAGAATAGTGCCTGTCATTAGGAAGCACTAGTTTAGTGATAACTACTTTTTTACCCCACGTGAAGGAGAACTTGCTACCTCCCAAGGCAGCTCATGACACCTTTGATCAGCCCTGGACTGTGGCCGTTGGTCAGCATGGGCCAGATAGCCACAGTCCTTTCAGTTGGATTTCTATAACCTTGTGTATCGTTGGTTGAAAATATTTTATTTGGCTTTTTCAGATGTAAGCCCCCAAAGGACAAGAGCACACCTCCAAGCCACAAGGGGGAGCCATGTGTGATGAAGGCATTGCAGGAATTGGAAGTCTGGATTTTGTGTCCTTTGGCAAGGTGCTCTCCCCCTCTCTCTGTCTGAGGTCTGAGTTTTTCCATTTGTTAAATATGGGTTTGGTGCATCTGGCTCTAACAAGGTCAAGTTATTACAAACTGGCCCTTAAGTACTCTGAAACAGGAGGCAGACCCTCCCCATGGGGTTGAACCTAGGCCCTCACACATGCTCTATCCCGAAGCTATATCCTGGCCCTTTTTATTATTTCTGATTTGTGCAAATGGTGAGATTCAAAACTAGAGACTTAGAAGAGGGGGAAGGGAATGATGTAGGAGCTTGAAAGGAAACCATCCTCACTCCCTTTCTGAATCACCACTCCCAGATCCTTTTGTTCCTCCTCAGTCAGCAAATCTCTGCTCTTGGCTTTCAGTCTCTTCCCCCTCCAGACCTCAGACCCCATCCACCTCTGGATATTGTGTATCCCCAGATGGGGTTTCTCTGTAATAAGGGACATTCATTATTTTATTCACTGAACTGCTTTCTTTTGGGAAGCATGAACTCCACTCTCAGGAAGGTCTTCTGCCAGTGGGGAACAGGGACAAACAGGGCAACAAATAAGCAAGCTAGGTGACTTCAGATACTGTGGTGATCAGAGGTATGAAGGGAAGACATCAGAGTGAAAAACCAATGGGCTGCTTGGTTAGGGAAAGTCTGTAGAGGTGATATCTGAACTGAGACAAAAGGAAGGAGTAACAAGTACAAAGACTCCCAGAGAAACAAGCCCAGAGGGGTGAGATTTCAAATCCCAAGTTTCCAATCTTCATAAAAACACGGAGGGCCGTTTCTGGAGAAATCCCAGAAACTTGGGAAGAGGGGGCCTTCAGTCTTATCCCATAATGTGGTTGGGTTGAGGGCCTCCCTCTAGTGGTAACAATAGTTAAATGTCACATTTGCAGACCTAGAATGCCACATGCCGGTGACTTTATGGGCTAATTCTGTCACTCAGTCTTGTTTCTCTCACGTTTATTCACTCAACAAATATTTCCTGAGTGCTGAGTATGTGCCAAGGGGTCTTCTCAAATGCTGGGGCTAGAAGCTGTGAAGTCGATAGGTTTCTGCCCTGGAGTTGATATCCTAGCTGGCAATTCTTAAGCCTAGTACTCTACCTCTGCTCACCTCTTCCCCACTCCCCACCAAGGAAAATTGGCTTTCTAAAGCTCCAACAGCCAAAGAGCTCAACTTCAGAGTGTTTCTTTTGCAGTTCCCTTCCCCCTGGAGTGCTAGGCCCTGGCTCTGCATTGCTGGCTCAGAATCAGCTCAAATGTGACCTAGTCAAAAAGGTGTGTACATATTGTCTAGCCCCCAAATATAAAATTCCACAAAGGTTATCATTTTCCTGGAATCCCTCAGCTTCCCGCTTTTCTTAATGTGTACTCAGAAGACACTTATTGAATGGGTTTGAGAGTGCATTGTTAGGAAAATTATTAATGGGGTACTGCCAGGCCCAATGCGTGTCAGATGCTTGAAAGTGTAAGCCAAAATCACCGTCCTGAAAAAATATAAATAAATTAAAAGCTCCTAACATTCTAAAATTCAAATGGCATCCCTGGTACTACCCCTCCTTACCCTATTTTATATTTTCCCACACATTTACATTAAAGAATTGAAATGTACTTATCGGTGTTTGTGTGTCTCTGCCGCTAGAATATGAGCTCCAAGAAAGCAAGGTATTTTGTCTCTCTTGTTCACCAGCCTACCTGTCCTTAGCACCAGGAACAGTGTTGGCACCCAGTAGGCATTCAATAAACACCGAAACAACTTCAGACCTCAGCTTGCTGTTTTTCCAACAGACCTTGCGCCACCTTGTTCCAAGGGGGAAACGTGCCTCAGAAGGCGCTCAAAGGTGACCTTAGACGGCCCGACCCAGGAGTCTGAGCTCTGGGAGTAAGGCCATAGCACAGCTGCGAAGGGACACGCCAGAAGCAGGAGCGCAGCAATGCCTGCGGTCTTGTGGCGCTTCCAGGAAGAAGCGCGGACACGAGCAGCTGCGCGCCCCCGGCTGTGGGCGGTGCTATCAGAGGCAGTGGGTCACATGACCCGCGTAGGCGGTGCCC